TGAGCCGCCTTGCAGCCTCTCCCGTGCGCTGCCGGCATCAACCCCGTTACAGGGGGCCACACCGATTGCATCGTCGAGGCCTTCATCCACCAGAAAACGCGCTGGTTGCTTTTAACCACTTCATTATTGGCATTTTGCAAAGGCCGGTGTGAGGCACAGCATCTGCTGAGCTGCTGCTCCTGTTGCTTCCCCCCAAAATGCTGTTTCCTGACCAAGACAGAGGATTGACCCCAGAGCCGCTCATGCGCTCCCCAAGCACGTGCCACCGTCGCGTTCTCTTTGTGGGGGCAGCGCAGAGCGCGCCCCAGCTTCGGGAATTCCTAGGTATAGCCTAGATCTTGCACATATCAAGACCCAGGCGTTGTTTGAACTCCAGTCGCCCCGAGAGCCCAGGGCCCTCCCTGATCCCGTTCCAAGAGGCGCTGCGTGCTCAGGCAGGCTGCAAATCCCACGGACAATGGAAACTGTCCAGATAACAGCTAATCAGCTGGAAATACACATTCTGAGGGCAAAAACCTGGCCTATTTACACACCAGAAACTATAATTGCAACATGCTTTTCTTAGCTTAGCAGATAGAAACTGGCTCCACGTGCATCAGATGAGCCTCAAGCGCTTTCCCAGGGGCCTGACTCGCTGTTAACCTGTAACTTTACACCAGGGCATTGAAGCACAAAATGCCATTCTTCTAATTACATAGTATTTTATATCTGTCTTCTGCTTTCATAAAATGCTAGAAGGAACAGGCAAAGAGGGAATCTGGTTTTCTATGGCTATGGTTTTCTTTCTGGTTTTTGATCCCTCCAGAGCAAAGCTTTTGAGTTTCCTGGGTTTTATTCTGCACGTTTTCCTCACATAGACATGCCTCTTTGGGGACCATGAGGGATAAACTGGCGGCGCAACTCTTCCACAGGACAATCTTCTAAAGTAGAGAGCAAAAGTGTTTCAGTCTTTTTTCGTACTACATTGACAAGTTAGGTGAGGCCTCAAAAATACCATGAAATTGCCTCCCAGAGTTTGAATGGTCACTTTTTCACCTCTTTCTGCACATCCAAAAGCACTTAGATGTTGGGGTTCCCCTCCGCACATGAGAACTGAGAGCAATCACCCGAGATCTGGCAGATAAAATTACACCTCCAGGAATCACGTTAAGATAACCAATGACATGTATTACCTATGGCAGAAGGTAAGCACAAGATATAGGAAATAGCATGCTTTTAATTCTACAAATGCTTTTAATTATTTACAAAACATCCAAAACATCTGCTCCCAATCCACTAAACACATTTGTCAGCCAATTCAGCTGTTCGTTACTCATTCACCAAAACCTCGTATTTTAACAGCAGCAAATCTGCATTCAGGAATGTGCAGCTGCACGTGGACAAGCTGAAAGCTGACTGGGAAATAAAATGCCTTCAATTAACAATAAAAATCTGGCCTGCTTCAAGGCAAGCACAGGAGACTGAGGGAGTTCAATACCCAAGTCCCTGCAGCAGCATTTGTCTCATCTCTGCGCAGTTTAGTCGAGCCCAGCCTTGCCATGTGGCCAGCCTGGGGATTTCAGCGCACCCCTGTGGGGCGCTGCTCCTTTTGAACAGGGACCGTCCAGTCCAGCCTATGCAGGTTATCCATGAGATGACTGGGTGCTGTTCTGCTCCAGAAAGCAGTTAAGGTTTTTCCCATGATGATTTTCCCAAAAATCGCATGTTTCTGTTTAAACACGCCACAAAAGAAAAGTTTAGCTGTAAACAGCAGAAAGGGCGTTAGGTTTTAACACAAAAAGTACTATTTGCAAGAAAAGAACTACAGCATGCCTCTCTTTTTATTCTTTTATTTAACAGTTCACAATTAGAAACTTATTGATAAATTACACAGTTTGCCCTCCTGCTTGGGGTTTTTAATGCCTCAGAATACGTTGCCAACCCTGTCTCATCCCAGGAAGATGGCTCAAACTGCTGGTAGCTTACGCAAGAGACAGAGCGGCCAAGCGAGCATGCCAAGCCCCTCCGCGGGCCATCCTTTGCGTGGGAAAGCCGCCAGAGGGAGGGAGTTAACTGGCAGGAGGAATTATTCCCTGAAAAACACACATTTGAAATGGAAAAATATACTGGATATCATTTCAAGGACAACAGGTTATTTTATAGACTCGCAAAGGTTACAAATGTTGTTGGGGAAAAATCTGGCAGGGCTGCAGGTCAGCCAGGTTGTATTTGCAGGGAGTGACTACCCAGACTGGCCCTGTTTCAAGGCCTTACGTCTTGAGCAATTCTCTCTAAAGCCTCCTTCTACAGAGCAGAAAGATAAAATTGGGTCCCGCCTCAGCCATGTATTTCAACATCTGCTTCACTATGCACACAGTTGTGGCCATCAATTCCAGTGTTTCACCTGTGCTTCCCACACCTTGCTTTTTTTTTTTTTCCTGCTCGTAATTCCTTAATTTCTCAACATTTTTTGGCCTTCAAATCCTAGTTCAGCCACCTTCTCTGGCACCTTCTTTTTAAGAGACGGTGCATACACAGCACAACGTGCCTGCTAAATTTCTATGACAAGCTCCTGCAAAAGAAACCCTGGGGAAAAAACAAAAAAACACAGGGCATTTTCATGTGAAGCCTAGCTGAATATTCCAGGGGTGCTATAAAAGCACATGCAAAAACGCAGTCGTGCTTGGACCTTCCCTAGCCAAGTGCCTCTGAGCTGAGCACCACGGTGGCACTGACACCAGTGAGCTTTTCCAGGCGCTCTCCGCTGGGGCGAGGATTGCTGGCTGCGTGCAGACCTAGACTGGCCGCTCCTTGCAGGAGTGGATCTATCTTGATGCCACAGGTAAAAATACAGCCCTGTGCGGAGAGCTCATGCAAAGCTGCTGCCTTGGCAAGGTTGAGGAGGGCAGTGCATTAGAGTAGTGTTAGACTTAGCCCCAGGGCAGGAATTTCACTCACAGTGAATTAAAAGGTCAAATCCAGAGACAAAGCTGTGAGGACTTGCCAGCAGGAACTGGCTGAGAGACGAGGAACAGAGAGAAAACACCATGAGCATGTATTTATAAAGAAACAAAAAAGGGAGGGGCAAATTAGTTTTGTTTTACTATTACGAAGGAATGTTTTACCAGCTTTCTCCTTGTATCCTTCTACAGTTGCTCACCTTTGGCACAAGGAATTCTACGTATCACAAGATTTAATTAATAATAATACTTCATAACAACACTCAGCACTTACATAGCGCTTTTCATAGTCAAAGTGCTTTACAAACAACAGCTTGTGAGTCCTCACAACACCCCTGTGAGGTAGGTAAGTATTATTATCCCCATTTTACAGATGGGGAAACTGAGGCAGAGAGGTAAAGTAACTTGCCCAAGGCTACATAGGGAGTTGAAACTCATGACATAAGTGGCCCAATTCTGCTTTCCCCTATAGTAGCGTACCACAGATGGACTCCCATAAAGCTATACTGGTAGAAGCAGAATGGTCAAAATCAGTTTTCTCTGGCTCCCAGTCTTCCACTCAGATCAACTGACGATACCTGCTCCACCTAAAACAACAACTCCACTTTCAGAAACGCTACAGAAAATTCATAGCACAGCAGGAGCGAGTCTGAAGTCTTAAGGCAAGGTGTACATTAACAGCTCCACAGCTCCATATCAAGTTGGACTCCCCGCAGAGGCGTCATTTGCCACGCTATAGGAGTCCAAATACAACAGCTCAAACGGTCTCTCAGCTGTGCCCGTATCAGCTATGGGGCTTGTTCTCTTCTCCTTTGAGTTAGAGTAAATCCAGAGCAAATCAATGGGGCTGCAACAGCGCAAGACTAGTATGAGATCTGAACCAGACCTTTTACCTGCTGCTTTGTAGGCAAATAGCCCTACTAACATCTGTTCATTTTGGACAGTTTAGGCATGGTTCATTTCACTCGCTCTCTCTTTCACTCTCTCTCTCTCTGTCTCTCTCCGAGTTTTTCTCTCTCATATAAACAAACTTTCAATATTTCCAACTCCTTAGTCACCAGCATTTAAACAGCACCATACATCTTTCTAAGACTGATCAATATTTCCAAAAAAGTGTCAATGCATGCAAATATCAAACGTACAAAAACATCAAGAGTGCTGGGACATGACACCAAGGATAGAGGTGACTACAAGACAGCACACAATGTTTATTAAAAATACCAGACAGCTCACTCATACTCTAACTATGCCACTTAAATGATCATTCTCTAACCTGCAGAAATACAGGCACTTACTCCTCCAACTATCTACCTACCTACCTAGAAAGAAACAGAAATAGCAAGCGCACACATTTATACTTCCTGAAACTTGGCAGGCACTATTCAAGTGAATGGGAAAGGAGAGTTTGGTGGGTGGGAGGAGTATGCATACCTGTTTTAGGACAGTGGGGTATGAGAGAAGTAGAAAATATCATGTGCATAATTACCAAATAAGCATCAAACTGGTGGAAAGAAACCCTCAGATTAGATGGATTCATGTATGGCATCCACTAAAAACCTCAAAGCATAAGCACACTGAAGCTGGCAAACAGCTGGTGCCACTTCACCTGTGTCCAACCACAGCATCAGCAAGTAAGATCAAACAAACCTCAAAAAGAAAGCAAAAGGAAGAATAAACCAGCCTGGAGACGACAATCTTCCACAAACCCACTTCCCTGCATTATTTTCAAACACATTTTACTCTTAAGCAATTTCAGAGAGGAGTAGGGGAGAAAGATACCCGCTACTATTTTTTTAAACTGGCTCAGCACCAGCACCAGCTCAGAGAGAGGGAGAGAAAAAATAAATTCTTCAAACATGATCCTTGGTACTCAATTAAAACGTTGCTAGCCAGCTGACAAAACCCTAAATTGTCAGAGGGTTCGAAGTGGAGTGGATACACAGTGGTGCTCACGTTCTTCTTCCTTTGCTATGATATCTGCTCCGTGGGCCTCATCTGAATATCTCCAATCTAGAAGAGACCAATGCATGATTTTACTGGAGCAATGAAGTACATTGTAAATCCTACACCAGGTGCTTACATGCTGCACCATTACAGTAGTGAGCTGCACACAAAGAGTTCCTGTGACTAGAAACGAGCTCCTTAAACTGAGCCATTAGACAGAAATGAAGGTAAGTGCGACTGTTCAGTCTTTAGCGGAAAGGATAAAAGCACAACTACGCGCAGAGAAAGAAAGCAGTGCAAGATGACATTGGTTATAAGCTCTCCTGGTTCAAGGCTTAAGTTTGCTCCTGCTCATAGAGGGTCAAGCAGAAGCATTGCTTGTGAGCGTATTTCTCCGTATCAGCCGATAGCAGGATTTTTCATCATCCTTCTTTCATAGCAAGGAGGCCAGCTACTGTCAGAGCCAGGACACAAGAGGCAATGAGCTACGTCCTGCTCTGAAGGAGCAGCGTTCCTGCGAAGAGGTTGCCAAACATTTCATGGCCAAAGTCTGCTTTTGCAGCAAGGACTTTTATGTGGGGCCCCAGCCCATATCCTAAACTTTGAGACTGTTCCTGCCTCCTCCTGGTTCCAGCTCAGCAAAGTTGGCCACTTATTTTTTGTTTTACAGGAGGGAAGTCCCTCTGGCAGCACGAGCAGCTTGCGCTGCCCTGGAGGAAGTGCACAGCACTAGGCAGGATCAGGCCCAAAACTTTATTTGGCAAGTGGCAGAACGTAATTCAGCTGCAAGAAAGTCAGCAAGTCTCAGACAGCACCATGCAAAAGGGCAAAATGTGCTCACATCCCTCCCGCAAAATGTGCTCACATCCCTCCCGTTCCCCCCTGCTGTGCACAGTCCTCCTCTGCGGTTAGAGCAGCCTTTGCTGGATACGCAGACCATGAGCAGCATTGTCCCAAAGCTGCCATTAAGGGAAGTGTAAGCAAACATGATCACTGCTAATCCCTGGTCCCGGCCTCTCTAAGCACACAGCTGATACAGCACTGCAACGGTGATTAACAAATGTCAGGACAGCAGCTACCCTTTTTCTCCTTCAGCTACCCACAGAGTCGACCCCTTCAACTGCAGCTTACCTGTACATGAGGTGGGGCACTGAGGACATATATGACAGCATTAGCCATATCTTCAGCTTTGAGACACTGGAAAGATAGGACAGAGATCGTCTCAGTCAAAGGACACCTCAGGAATTATTAACCATAAGATCACTCCTTTCCTAACCATCAATAGCAAGTTGCAACAGTCTCACTGAGGCATTTCAAGAAAAGATGAAAGCGAGCAGGAAAAAAAACAGCCTATTAAAAATTTAACAAAGATGTCTGGTGATGATATTTCTGCATTTGCTGTTCGTATTATTGTAAAACGCTTTGAGGTGCCTAAGATCCCCCGGGGGTGGGCAGCAGAAATAGAGAGATGGAGATGGGACCCCTCTTCGAGAGCCTGCAATATACATTAGACCAGACAAATGAAGAAAGACAGAGGCACAACGGAAAGCAGCAAGGCTTGCCAGGCACATCAGGGAAGAGCACAGAACAAAACCCATGTCTTCTCCTGCCATTCACTAAATCCAACACCCTCTCTGTGAAAGGGCTTTCTGGAAGTCAGAAATCACCCCTCCAAGAGACAGCTAGGAAATGCTTTTGGTTACTTCTCAGTCAGTGGAGATGACCACAATTAGATCAGGCTAAGAAGATGTGCACAGGATCAGTTGTTTGGCAGAGAACAGGGGGCACCATGAAGATGGGAACAGCAAAAGAGCTGTTCCGGCTCCCAACCTGGCTAGGCATGTTGGGAAACTACCAGCCCAAGTCAAACATTGCCATCCTTATCAAATGGTACCAGGCAAGCATGAGAAGTCCCATGCTAGCCACTTGCAGGACAACATGCTCTCAGCATTCCTCTCAACCACTCTTGTGTAGGTATGTCTTCTCTTCAAGAAAGAAGAGGCCACAGCCTGCAAAACGTCAAAGCTGACTGATAAATTTACAGGAAAATCTAGATGTAAGGAAAGATATAGGGAGTGGGAAACTGCCCCGATTACAAATCTACATAGTGTGTAAATATCAGTGCAAAATGTGAGGTTTGAGCCTATGGGTCCAATTCCGCTGAAGTGCTGAGACTTTCCGAGGATACTGACTGTATTCTGGAAGGTAGTCAGCACTCTGCAGAACTGGCTCCTTGCATGATTAACCAGGAGAGGCATCATTTGACTATTATCAGAGCCATTTCCCTCCGTTTCCATTTCTCCATGTCCTACCCGAATGCTCTCGTAGGTGGCAGCAGCTCTTTCTGGGTCATTATCATGAAGTTTAAAAGCAAATCCTGTTTCCACCAGTCCTGGAGATATGCACTGGAAAAGAGCAGAGCACATCCTAATAGGATTTGTAATTCCTCTTCAGGAAAACAATTAAAAAGATGAGAAAAAACTTCTTAGCACTGCAAAAGCCAGAAGACCACCCCTTTTACTATTGTCCCTCTCCTCCTGCCCTTTTTCCTAGGGGAATAGTTTAAGAGATCAGATACTGCCTTAATGATTGCTGTGAGGGTATCTCTGGAGAACCACTGATGGGTCTTCTTTCCTCTTCATGCCACAAAGGGATGGATAAGCAGAGAAAATGACAGAAAAGCTCACAATATGGATTAACTGCTGGACACGTCACTTCTGAGATGCAAGGTCTGAATGAGAGCGAACAGCCTCAGCTGACTGCTTCCCTCTGCTGTCACGAGTCCCCCTCACTCCCCAGCACGACTCCCACTTTGCGCACCCCAAAAAGTTTATTCTCTGACATAGCCGATTGCTGCTGCCTTGACCACTTCCCAAAGGAAAACCTTTGCCCAGTAAAGCATGCCCGCTTTCTACCATCCATGAAAGTGGCAGAGAAGAGGAAATCCCTCAGTACTTACTGTAGCTCGTATATGAGTCTTTGCTTCTCTGAGTTCTTGTCTGAGTCCCTCCGTAAGCGCTGTAACCGCGTACTTGGTGGCACTGTAAAAATGCACCACTGACTGTGGCACGACACTGTGACCATTCATGCTGAGGAGAGAGAGCAGAAAGGAAAGTGCTGAGAGCAGGGAGCCAAGTGAAGTCCTAGGAAAGACCCAGCAGGATATTCAAAAAGTTTAATTATTGCCACTGTAACAAACACAAAGAGAGAAAGAGATGCTGACATGGATGGCTGCATGAGGAACTCCCTTCTCCCACACCCCTCTGTGGGCTATGGGATGCCCTGACAGGGCTGAGCTCTGGGCAGAGCACATGTAGCTGCTGGGGAACTGGCAATGGGGAGGTGCACATAGAAGAGGCTCCTCTCAAGGCAGTTGCTTTCTGGAGCTGGCCAAGAAGTTTCAAACTTCAACCATCACAAATGATTTCCATTATGCTTTTCTCCTGAGTTGGGTCTTTGTTGTGCTTGCACCAGCAGAGGAAAAGAAAAAGTTTTGAAAATCTGAACCATCACAAACCTTGAAAAATCCCTCTCTGGACACATCAGCCCACTCTGAAAGGTCAAAGCTCCCATCGGAAATCCTCTTGGCGGGGGAGCCCACGTGGCTGATCCCATACACCGCTCCCACATACCTGTTAATGTTAATAATATGCCCATCGTCAATATTTCTCTCTTTCATGGACTGATAGGCCTCTCGGGTGCAGATGCTTACAGCCATCACATTGACCTGAGGGAAGAAAAGAGAGGAAACTAAGAGCAGCAGCTCTGCCCAGCACCTTTTTATTTGCCCTCCATGCTCCCGAAGGCACTGACGTGGGTCACAGATCACAGCGTAAACATCGTGCAGCAGTGATGGCTTGACCAGCCTGGGAGGATGCTGCACAAACCATGGCCACCTTGAACCAAGGTGAGTTAGGACACGGCAGGGCAGAGACCTAGCCTTCCTGCCGCGCTCACAGCGGAGCCATACATAGGAGGGCAAAACTGCTCTTGGCAGAGCATAAGACCAGACACATGGCAATTCCTGTTAACACCGACAGAGGGAAACGCACATACACACACTGCATTCGCTGCAACTAACCTCAGGGCTGCAACAACAAGCAGTTTGGGCAGGGGACGCATAGAGGACCAATTCTGTGAGATAGGCCATAGCCTCTGCCAGAAACACATGGATTTAATTGTTTCACAGGTAAACCTGAGGGCCAAGTCAACGTTAAGGGAGAACAAATCTACTCCCCCACGGTCAGCACTCTGTCCAGGAGACAAAGTTGTTGTTTTGTACAGCACAGAGCACACTGGAGTTTGGGCAGCTGATGGGATGCTAATTGCAGGTAATAAGGTCAGATAGTTAATGAGGAAACCCCCAGATACTGCTTGTCAGAGGGCCAGGCACTCAGGGGTGCTGCAAACCACAAGAGATTCCTGTGCACGAGTGAAGCCAAATTTACACCACACCATGGAAAGGGTCAGTGTAAGCAATCCTAGAAGACATGAAAGCCACAAATCGGGCACGCTAACTGCTGACGTTTTGCTTAGTCCTAGTTGGGTAAGCTAAGAAAGGAAGGACAAGATAACACATCTGGTCCTTCAGCACAGGATCCAGAGCTCTCCAGGCTCTTGCTCTTTGGACTAGCACGACGGTTCAGTTAAGCTCAGTTGTATCACCTCTGCAACGTGCCAGCTTTAACAAGCAAATGCCCTGACTGTTTGCTTGCCATAAAACACAGACTCAACGTCTCCAGGAAGACAGAGGTATGGAAATTCCCCTGGCTGGCATATGATAGTACAAAGCACCAACAGGTACATGCGAGATTGATCAGCCCAGTAATTTGTAAGCCATCTCAGCAGCAGTGTTAATTGCTCAGATTGATAACGTTTTAGATTTTTAAAAGCGGTTGAAAGGTAGAAAATATTTGCTAAAGCCCTCTAGAAAGGATGTGACAACTTCAAGGCAGGACACACTGGCAGGTCACAACTGATGGTAAGTCACTTTGTTAACAATATCAGCAGGCCAGACAAGTCTAGAAAACCTGCTGTGAACTAAATAGCCAGCAAGAACTACATTTCTGATGAATCAGAGATCAGTTGTAACTAGATATGGGAGGAGCACTGGGAACAATGCCGTGTGGACAGCAAACGTAAGGATACGTGAGAGGGCTGACAACCATTTATGTGAAACTTATAAACAGAAATGAGACAGACTAACTAGAACTCGCTAAAAAAAAAAAAAAAAGGACATGCAGCCACAGTGGAGGAACATTAGTTTGGAGAGTAGAAATCAAAATCCACCCCCTTCCTCCTTTTAGAGACGTACTTACTGAGCAGACACTCAAAGGATGAGTGGGGTCAGGGAAGGGATGTTCCAGGCCCGGCTTTTGTCTCAGTCATTATGTCTTATTCTTCGCCATAGGCCATGCCTATCGGTTTTTGTCTTAAGTAGCATGCTTATCTGATCTTATGTTAACATGAAGTACCCAGGCAGTACAATAAGTATAGTCATAATCCCCATCCAAGTGCACTTTGGTTGAGTGCAGTCACTGCCGGCTATCTCAGCCACTGTACCTGGAGCCATGGAGATAAATTCCCCAGCACCAGGTTGAAGATTTACCTCGCCTGTGCAGGGCAAAAAGGTAGGAGACATTTCAGAAGTTGCACAGCGCAACCACTTAGGCACTGGAACAAAACCCAGACCAGGCAAAGTGCTTCAAATCTTTTGGATTTCACAGCAACAAGGTGAAGGAAAGCGGGAGTAACCTGCTCCAGTCCCATACAACAGCCAAGTGAGGAACCAGTCCTTTCAGATACAGATCTTGGCCATTGTTAGTACGAAGAGCCATCATGGCCAGCAACACCTCCGCTTTGCTCCCTGCCTCAAGAAGTGCTCAATCCACAAGGCACCGTGTCTTCGGGGCAGAGTCGTTCCCAGGCTCTATGCCATCTCCGCAGACCACTAGAGGGTAACATCAACCTAAAGCTGTGACCAAGGCCCAGCTCCAATGCTGTGATTCATGCTGAGCAATGCCTCCTTGTGTGGGTAGAGCGACAACATTTTGACAACTTCTGGCAGAGCAAGATACTAACCAAGAGCCATGTGAGCAAGCCCAGAGCCCATACAATAAGCCCGCCTGGCACAACAAAACCACCATGTGGAAGGCAGCAGACCTGGGATCGACTCAGTCTTTTCCTGATAGCACCCACAGGATTTTGGAACTCTGATCCCATTTCAAAATGTGACTCAGGCCACTTAGGAGCCTAAAAACTTGCCTGGAAAATGAGCAAGTCTTAGGGTGACATCACTTCTAGAAAAAATCTAAAGGTCACTCTTACAAATCTCCATGCAAGATGTTTTTCAGGTCTTGTTTCTATTTTGAGTACAAAAGGTTCAAAGGTCCTTTAGCAAAGATGGCCAACACATCTGCGCTGTACATTTGCACAGCATGTTGCACAATACAGCAGGTCTGTGACTGTGTACGTGTGCAATAGGAATAAGTCACATTTTCGAGTAATTTATAAGTTTTATTTGCCAGGTTGAGAGAACAAAGGAACCTTTTTGTGGAAGTACTAAGCATTTCACTTCCCTGAAACAGGCTTTTCTAAGGCATCACAATGAGTATCCCAACTTCCAAGCATGCATAAAAATTCAGGTTACAGAAAACACATCTCTTCTTGATTTTAGACACCATCTGTGCAAAAAGCCTCACTGGCCAATGAATAATGCTGAGAAAAATCAAACCTAGTTACCCTCTACAACTGGGAGGGGATGGGTACCACAGTCCTTTGCACCTAGAATGGAGCAAATCGAAAGTTCACCTCAAATTCCTGGCTTTAAAGGTCAGTAGGTAAAACGTGAAGGAGCTGTGGATCCCAGAGCCCGAAAGCAGTGTGTAACACAGCACCCAGCCCTGGCTACACCCGTGCGAGTCAGGGGTGGCTGGAGGACTTTGCTCTAGCCACATGCCAAGCACAGCCTAGCACACGGGTGGATAGAAACTGGGGATTTGCTGGCTGGCAGCCCAGCTCAGCACTGTCAGAAAGCAACAGAGACACAAGTCCGAACCTGAGACTTCTGCAGCCCAGGGAAAATAAGCACCTACAGATTCCCCCTTGGGAATAAAAAGATCAGATGATAAGGATCTGAAACATTAAAAAAAAAAAGAAAAGAAAAAAGAGGAATAAGTGTTTTAATAAGTAAATGATAACACTACTTCAAATGCTAGGTGTACAGCAAGAGGTTTTACAGAACGTGTATACTGAGAGGGGAGCCTGGAAGAAGACAGACTGCCTCAAAGCTCATAAAAAATGCATGGAAACAAAAATCAATTTACCAAAAAGAAAAAATGCCTTTAATTTAAAGCCCTAAATGCCTTCTAAATCAATAGATCAATGGCTGTTTAGAAATTTTCCCTGTCTTGCAGCCCGGAAGTACACTGAAACACCCCAGCTGCATCTCAAAACAAACAGTGCTACTCACTAACACCTTCCTTTAACAGGCCTTTGGAAGAAGCCTTCCCTGCTCCTGTTCAGCTCTGCAAAACCCAGCAGCAACCTCCCCCAGCCTGACCCTCGGAAAGCTTCAGAGCATGCAGAAGAAACAGTCCTGGCGAGTGTTTCCCCGGGGCTGGCGAGCCACGGCAAGGAGAGCTGTCAGCGCAGATCCTCCCAAACCCTGCTGTCAGGCCAGCAGCCACACAGCCACAGTAAGCTTGAAGAGCAAGATTTCCAAGCGGGGAGGTCGCAGCAATGACAGCGACCAAGACAAGGAGTTTACAAGGCAACACGCAGTGCAGACTCGTGGCAAGATGATGCTGAGAAGCATCCTGCTTTACACCAGCTCTGTCTCGGCAATGCCTCACTATTTTCTTTAAAGCCTCCACGGCAACTGGGGTTGCAGAGACACATCTGTGCAGTGACCCAGGCTGGGCAACCCGCAAAAGCATGGGTGGGCAGACAGAGACAAGCAGAGCTTGACCTGGCTGCAGTCACAACAGTGAGCAAAGCCACTGAAACGCTAAAAAGCACTTAATTAGCCAGGATAAGGCGGCTCTCACCTTGACAGCAGGAGTCTGCAGCCTCAGTGCACTTGTGCCTCCCTGTTTTACTTTACACAGCCTCCAAACAGCTGCTGGATAGACAGCCATCGGCTGCCAGATCCAGGCTGACCCCTTCGTCATTCGAGCAGACCCTGAGCCTGCTATCCATGGAGAAGGGCTACAGGGTCACGGCAAAAGATGGAGAAGTCCCAAAAAGACACGTCTCAGCCCAGCAACACCGAGGTGGGAACACCGCTTGTAAATGGCATGATCCATTCACACACTTCTGGTGTGGCATACGAAATTGGCTCATCCACATGCAGCTCTAACCAGATTGCGGGCAGAAAATGAAGATATAAAAACAAAAACATTACAGCTTCTTAAGTGAAAAAGGATCTGCCTGTTTTACAATCCACTGCTATAACTGCTTAACAGGATTAGGCACAAATACCAGTGCTTGGCATTTAATTTCCTATTTTATTTAAGGAAAAAATGAGGCTCCTTACCTTTTAGAAAGCCACTGCATGAAATGAAAAACACTACTGAAAGTAATACACATTTTCATACCCCAAGGTTAAGGCACGTGGCTCAGCAGCGTGTGATGGCTGTTCAGTTCTCAAGGGAAAGACGGGGGAGAGCTGATAAAAATTCCAGTCCTCATTTGAGGGGCAACAAACCTGGGCCTTGCCAGAGCCAAGTGGAAGCAGGTCCTCAGCTCTGCTCATGTGAAATAAACAGATGGGCACAACAGTGTTGGGGGCTAGGAGAAAGACAGGCTCTTGCGCACCCACGCTGGGCTTCCTGGGGACACCGCAATGCCTCACGGGCAGTGCAAAGCCCTCCCTGGGTGGCAGACAAGGTACAACATAGCTCTCCATCAGGTTCCCGAGTCCAGCTCCTCCGGCTAGCACAGCTACAGGGTAGTGAATCACAGGACACACAAAACCTCTCTGGTGACAAACAGTTCCTTACGTTTTAGTCCTCAGGCTTATTTTGACTGTGGTCCACTGTTAACACAAAAATCAAGCAGTCAAATACTGCAAACCCCAGGAACACAACCACCTATGTTTTAAAATCTATGTAATACAGGAAAGCTGAGCATAATTTAGGCAAATAGGAAGCCAATGGGAAGGCTCTCCCTGATCTGAGCATTTCCAGCATTCAGATTGATCAAAAAACAAAGAAGAAAATTTGAGAAAAACATTTTCCAAGCCCCTCAAGCCAGTTTCTGCAGGTGGCTGTAATTCAGGAAACCCAGCAGCAAAAAGCCTGGCCATTGCGGAGACCTTTGCCAGTGCAGTTCCCACTCTCCCAGGAGCACTACTCACATCTATCATTGTCCGCCAGCCCTCCGTCTTCCCCGAGAGCAGGGGCTCTGGGCGAGCCAGCCCCGCGTTGTTGATGCACACGTCAACCCCCTGATGAAGAGTCTTGATAGCGGAGAACATCGACAAGATCTCCTCTTCATTGGAGAGGTCACACTTGTATGGGATGAGGGTCCCAGGATAGCCAGCGCTCTGGCATTCGGCTGCCAATTTCTGGGGAAGAGAAGAAGGAAGATGACAGCCATCAGCATCCTCTCCTCACGGACAGGTCTATGAGACTGTGCTTTTTATTATTCCTGCTTGCAATCATCGCAATTGTGGATTTGGAGGAGAGCAACACTAAAGGACTGCAAACAATACCAAGGCCCAACGTTCGTGCCAGGCCTCATCCAAGCACAGCCGGAGGCAGCTAGTCACTAGCCCAAAAGGTGAAGGAAAGGGAACAACTTACCCCACCACCTATGGTGGCTGCAAAGCTGGACACAAAGTGAGCTCAGTGCTCTGACCACCACTCCTACAAAGTTCAACGCTAGCCCGCCCTCGGCCTTTGCTGAAAACAGATTCCCCAGCTGCACCGCGTCTGCGGGGAAAAACTCACCGAGACCCTCCCCAGGCCTGTTGTCTCAGCATACCGAGGCACATGATATTAGGAGACATGTCCTGAGGTCCCACGCTGCTGTCTCAGGTTGCATTTACTTTGCAAACCTAGCTAATTTAGACTGCAAGGCAACCACCCTTGGGGTGTCTTCCTGAAGGACTCCTGTGTTTGCAAAGCTGCCGCGCACAACGGGGGCAAGGGTGCAGCCCAGCAGCATGCCTGCCACCAGAGTCTTCCGCGGTGCTGGGGTGCTGCAGAGGAACACAACCATCCGAGAGCGACTTCTTCACCAGCAACCCAGCCCCAGCCACCCAACACATTGTTTGGTACGGGCACAAAATGCACAGTCCTGCTCAAGCCCTTCTCTTCCCAAGTGATAAATGCATCAATGGCGCTTTTGTTTTCCATCGCTGCAGAGGTAAGTGATCTAACACCACCGCCAAGAAAAGGGAGAAAAACCAGGTCTGACAGGGAGCAGGTCCTGGTTAAAGCAGTGTGCAAGTGAAATGGGACAGCAGGACGGCTGCCAGGAGCAGACACCCTCACAGTAACCCATCGCTCAGGGTTCACTAAGGATTCACTGATCAGGGTAAAGCAACAAACATATTCACTGTCAAAGCATACACAACCACTGTCATCGACACAGGAAAAGCGAACAGGGCAGAGTTTTTCCTCTTTCACAGAAAGCCCACTTAAATACCTTTGTGCTGGGTGGTCGGTGCAGATCTGAACAGTTATAAATGAGCAAAGCCAGATGCTGACTGGGGCACATTTTATAGCAGTCTTTTCTTGCCTCTTAGGGTTGCTTCCCCCCTGCATTAAAAGGCAAAACTTCATAAAGCAACAGCAACACATTCTGGGAACCACAGAAGCCTGTGTTTGCTCATTTTTCAGCATAAACACTTCAAAGAGAAACACCATTCACTCCAGTATTCATCTCTGTAGCGGGAGCCAAGCCTTCCCGAGCAATGTAAATCATGGACCCTTTCCAAGCAACAGCTTCATCCTCACGCAGGCAAGAGGGGATCAAGCTCCTCACTGTTTGATCCTCCCTCTGGGCATGTGAGGAAGGAAACTTCTCGAGACAGTGGTAACATCAGCCCCAACTTCCCCAGGGCCGGTTTTACCTGATGTCACTAGAGCAAGAGAAGCTTTCCAGCCCGCCACCTCTATGCTGCCATGCCCAGCTCCCTGGTGTTTGCTCTTGGGAAGCCACCGCAAAGCAGCTGTGCTTTGGGGACCTCCCCAATGGGACCTCCGTCAGCTCCTGCTCCTGTGCTTGCACCGCACCAGTCCGCCACCCCAGGGTGGCTCATCCAGCCATGTGCTTAAAAACACATCCTTGGGTTAAGGAAGCACAATAGCCTCCCAGCAAGGCTGGCACTGGGGAAGATCCATTGTAAATGCTAATTAAAATAATAATAATAATAATAATAATAATCTTATATATATATATATATACACATATGAGACTCTGAGTGCTTCAGTTGTTAAGTTATTAAACTTAAGGACACGTTCAGTGTTTGTCCATCACCCCGAGCAATATAGGTCAGGGTGAGCAGGTGCTAGCAAAATACTAATAATTACCACTGTGGTTGCAAGCTGGAGGGGTCGGTGGTGGCCGACACAGGCTGTAAGTCCCCCACACTGCTGCGCAGATAAACGACATGGCAATCGCATGCCTTACAATTCCTCATTAGCTATTATCAACAATTATTTCAAGCATCCAGATCTTTTATCCAACTAGATGATATAAAGCAAATGAAAGGCCAAGAGCCGCTGCCGGCCGAGCGTGTTAATGATGCAGCAGCCACAGCACCAAATTCTCCGGAGGACGCCCTTTCCCCCCTGACGCTAATGAGAAACAGCATCTCGGCTCTGATGTGTCATATTAGAGACAGTGACAGCTTCCAGCGCAAGGCGAGAGCCACGTGACGTCTGGTTTCTGCAGAGATGGACCCTGGCTACAAACGTCCACCAAATCACTCCAGCGCTGTTGCCTGCAGCCGTTTCACCGATGTGACATTTCAGTGGGTGCAATAAAACTCATATCCTGTCAGAGGGAGCTTCCCGCCCCCTCGCAGCTCTTCTCTGCGTGCCCAAGGTGACTGCGATTCGCAGAGCTTTACAAAAGCACAGGAGGTCCTCAGCAAGAAACAAGCACATGGGGCATCCATCGCGGCACCTGCAGTGATGCTGGGGAGCTCGCACCGCACCAGAGGGACGCCAACTCCTTCGTTTACCATGAGCTGCAGTGTCACCTCCCAGGCTGGCCTGATCCTCCTGGTGTTCAGCACCACCGGAGCACCTGCAGAGCAAGTCCTGCATTTCAGAGGATGGTGGATGCTGAACCAAATCCACCGTCCGTACCAATACGCTGGCCTAGGACATAGCTTGCTCTAATGAAAGCAGGAGTGACAAACCAGTGCATTGAAGGTGTCTGTCTCCTGGGGAAAGCTGGAGAGCCTGGAGGTCCCCTGTCCCTTCTGTTTAGCAGAGCTTGTCTTTCCTCAGCTGTCACAGAGGCAGACTTGCCCCCTAAAAGACCCAGTGCTTATGACATTTGCAGAGTTTGTCAGCCAGACAAATATCCAAACTCTGAAACAAACATTAGACAAAAGGGAAAAACAGAAAAACCATGGAACATATACGGGAAACTGGAAAGAGAAAGAAAAAACAGAGCGAGCACAACATTTGCTCACCGCATCTCAGGGTGGTGGGAGAGGTGGTGTGGCTGCATCTCACAAACACTGGGAGCTGGCTCCCACCCAGCTGGCCTCCGACATGTGCCATCGTGCAGAGTCGCATGCCAGCACGCAAGCAAAACCCTCAGACTGTGGTCCCTAAAGTTTTCTGTGAATCAGCTCTCTGTCCCCCAGCTGGCACAGCCTAGGAGGGCAGTGTCACTCAAGTGCTCTGCGCTTGTTCTCGCCCCCAGCCCTTAGGGTTACAAGGGAGGCTGGCAACTGGTTAGATGCCACAAAGGCAAAATGGGGAAAAATTCCACCTGAAGTCGTGAACTGAGTCCTAACTCCAAATCATAAATCTGCTGCTGGCCCCGGCCCTCCCAGGAACTTTCTTGGTGACTACTTTCTCAAATACAAGTTTTGCACAGAACAAGGCTGAGCATCCTTGCTGGGAGGATGACAGACACAAGCCAGGATCTCCAAATCCCCTCAGTGTCCAAAACACATTCATTTTAATTGCTCTGGGACAAATGGCTCCGTTAGGTCAATGATTTTCAACCTTTCTCAATATCTAAAAACACTGCAGAGGTGGTACAAGTCCCTGAACAGAGACTTTAAGCTTTTCTGATTTGCCTTTCACCGCTCTCAGAGGCAATCCATAGGTCCCCAGGGCTCCCACAGATCACAAGCTGAAACCAGCCAGAGCCTAAAGGTCTGGTCCAGAAACTGCTGTACTTGCTGGGTACCACTTCAGTGAAGGCATTGCAGTCGCACAAGAATTATTATTATTGCTCTCACAGAAGCGAGCAAGAAGGGGATGGACACACTGAGTTCAGCCTGGAGATCGATACATCCCAATAGCATTGCGCTCTCCAGAGAGCTCTGCTTGGGCTGAGCTAGATGATATTTCTGCCTGACGGAGAACAAAGGTACCCCTGGGACTGAATTATACCTCCCCTGCATCCTCTCAGGGGTGTTTTCACTTTGCTATATATGCAGTCTTGTTGACTGTATACTGATAAGGTTTGAAAAATATATACTTTTTAAAGATCAGAATAAACACTTGAGAAAACAGTCTGGGAACAATCTGCAAGAGTAGCATTTAGAAAATTAAAAGCAGTATAAAGGGCTGCTGGAAGATGCTAAACTGCTCCAGGGATGGGGCCTTACTTGCTCCTAACAAGGATACAGAGGAGGAAAAAAAAAAAACAGGCAAGTGCCCACGTTCTTCGTAACCTCGCATCAAGGTGACAACTTCAGAGCTCGCTTCATCTTGCTGCCCAAACTCCAGCTCTCCACAAAGGGATTCATCCCATTCAGTATTGTTAAGTACCACTGCAAAAGCATCAGATACAAGCAATTTTTGTTCCTGGTAAGCCAGGTTACAAACAAGAGTAAGGTCTTGGTTTGCTCCTGGAACAGCACCAGTGCCCCGGCACATCCTGCAACCGCCAGGCTGCCTTTCATTCGTGTAATCAAGAGTTGTGTTTACTCGTCACTCCAGCGGCACCTCCAATTTCCCTGCTGGTGTCAGCGTTCATTGCAACTAAAGCAGGGTGCTGTCTCTCAAAGTTAACACTCGCACACGGAGAACGACAGCAGGTCACCAGTAGCATCTCAAGGCTGACCATCGTGGTGTGTTTGGAGCTGCAGAAAGGAAAAGCTGGCAGCCCATGGGAGGACATGGTTTGCCTGAACTCAGCCCACAGCAGTTGGTGTAGCCCCACAGGGGCCACTAGTGCTTGGCTGGGGCAGGGCATGGAGACTGCCACCGGGATCGAATCAAACCACACTAATTATTTTAAAAGACGAGAAATGCTAGCATGAAGAATTTATACATACAAGACCTCCCTTGTATCTCCCAAAAGAGGACTCGTGCCAGGGGAGCTGGCCGGAAGGAACAAGGGCCCATTGGCACAGACGGGAAA